GATGCGGTTATCACGTGTTCCTACAACACATGCAGCAAGTTCATCCATCCTTCCTACTATACAGAGGCTGGCAATCAGTAATGGGGCACCAGGGGCCACTGCTGGCCAGTAAAGTGCAGGATATGACACAAAAATGTCACCGATACAGGCAAGACCAAATATCGAATGATAATATACACAGTGCAATCACACCAATTTCTTCAATAAGGCAAAAAGCAAATGAAGGTTTAATAACACACAGCAGCCAATCAGAATATAGACATTTCACTGATCTGGCTTCCTAAACTGGAATGTGGTTGATGTGGGTGACTATACTCTGTGCATCATCAATGCTGTGTGCACGAACATACATTATTATACTATCCGATTGTACAATCTTCTCCAGATCTACCATCAACTATGTAGTGCAAGGACCGGCCTGATTAGATACAAACTGAGTGGACTCCAGGGCTGTCCAAATATTAGAGAGTTACAGGACAACCTTCTCATGGGCAAAATTATTCATCTGTATCTATAAAACATTTATGTCTATTGACTGTGGAGTGGAAACAATTGGTCTGTGTGCAGCTAAAAGTCTGTGGACCAATGCTTGAAGATAGATAGGATAGATAGGATAGATAGGATAGATAGGATAGATAGGATAGATAGGATAGATAGGATAGATAGGATAGATAGGCCAATACTTGAGAAGAAGAATTGATAGACAGTAGAACGATGCATTGAGAGCAAAAAAAATGCTCAGGAGTGAAGGGGAGCTAAAGGTCTGTGGGCCAATGCTTGAGAATTGATGGATAGATGATAGGTAGATTGATAAGTATTGATCACTGCTGTTTACCTAAGGACAGATAGCTAGCTAGAGGCCAATACTTGAGAATGAGAAGGATAGATAGATAGATAGATAGATAAGATAGATAAGATAGATAAGATAGATAGATAGATAGGCCAATCCCTAAGAATGAGAATTGATAAATGTATGGATCAATAGATAGGAATGGGCCAATACTTGAGGATAGATAGTTAGATGCCAATACTTAAGAATGAGAATTGGTATACAGATGATAGATAGATGATCAATAGATAGATAGATAGATAGATAGATAGATAGGAGTGGGCCAATACTTGAGGATAGATAGATAGATAGATAGATAGATAGATAGATAGATAGATACTTAAGGACAGATAGACAGACAGACAGCTATAGATAGATGTGGGCCAATGCCTGAGAATGAGGATTGATGAATGAATGGATGGATCAATAGATTGATAGGAGTGGACCAATACATGAGGATAGATAGATAGATAGATAGATAGATAGATAGATAGATAGATAGATAGATAGATAGATAATGTGGGCCCGTGTTGGAGGATTGGTAGATAGATATAAGGACACATTGTACAGATAAAGGTCAGGAAGATACATGTGATCTCTCAGATGATATACATTGTTGATGTGTCAGACTTTGTATTGTATCCATCCTCTGATTGTCCTCTACACCGGGCTCACCCTGATCAATACCTGACCTGTGTGCCTCCACCATGCTCTCCTCCATCCACACACACACAGACATGTACAGGGTAGTCGGTGAAGTCCATGGGGTTGCACCAATCACATTATTCCCTTACCGAAATCGGGGCGAATCCTTGATACATTCTTCAAAATCCACCGTCATGATTGCGCCTGGTGTCCTCAGTGCATTGCAGGCGGAGGGATGCGGGGTCCAGGGATAAGGAGGAGGATGCTTGCACACAGCGATCAGCACGCTGTACACCGGGCTTGCATAGGAAGAATAAGATCCCTGCAGACAGATCGAGCAATCCCAGAGCCGGCGGAGCAGAGCACGTTCCCGATCGCTCGGCCGATCCCAGCGCTGAGTGTCGGAGAGTGCGCTTCCCTCCCCGGGATCCGAGCGTTACTCCTACAGCCGGCTACCAGCCCAGCCTGTCAGTGCCAGGGAGCGTCTGCAAATTCACCGCCTGTCACAGCACGGGGAGCCGCTCCAACATCCACTCCCAGCCTGTCACGGCCAGGGAGCGTCTGAAAACTATCACACCCGCGCTGTGTCACAGCCAGGGAACGTCTCCAAGTTTACACAAAGGCTGCGTATCTTCAGGGAACGTCTGCAACTTTACCCTCAGCAAGGCGCAGTCAACCTCTACCATAGATTGGTGGCTTGGTCCCACATGTTACAATCTGGTAATCTACTAGGTGTAGATGAAAAGGTGATCAATTAGAAAAAAATACAAAATGTAACAACAATAATAATAATAATAATGTGCAGTGTGTTGGATGCACCGATACCAATACTAGTATCGGTATTGGTGCCGATACAGAGTAGTTGGGTGTGTGCTCTTACCTTCCCCAATACCAGAACTCCCGGTCAGAGGAAGATTTCCTCTGACCGTTGTGCATCTGAAGTCTTCTCTACACTGTAGACTTTACAGGGGATTAGAGTTGTCATCAACTGCCACCACTCCAACCCTGAATAATACAATACTGTATTATCTTCACATGTTCTATGTTTAATTTGCCTCAACAACCTAATAGGGCCCCTTCCACCCCCAGGCCCCATAGCAGCCACCTGGGCTGCTATGTCTATAGTTACACCACTGAGTGTATGGCCAACTTCAGTGATATGGTGCCACTGGGGTCAGAGGAAGGAACTACGGTGTGTAGCGGAGTTACACGGCCATCAGACATTCCTCAAAGTGTCAAATGAGACCAACGGAAGCGGCAGCCTGGAATGGAGGGGACACAGGAGACACGGGCTGCCGAAAAGCTGAATATAATCCCTTTCATCTTGCAAAACACTTCCCTTTTTCACCGACAGACACCTGAACTCCAGGTACAAATCCTTTCATTAAGCTATATTCCTCATTAGCCACAAAGGACATAAAGACAATTCATGTGCAGCAAATACCTTTACACGTCCAGGTATCTTCTTGTAAAAGTAGCACTGACATCATCATCTGTGCAGAGAGCAGAGCTATGGGAGGGCCCAGCAGGCTCCGCCAACTATAGGAAACTACAGGAGGGGGCAGAGACAAGACCAGTCACCCTGCACAAGGAGAGAGCAGCAGTGACCGGTCTTTATTACAGGAGGGGGGTGGAGACAAGACCAGTCACCCTGCACAAGTAGAGAGCAGCAGTGACCGGTCTTTATTACAGGAAGCTCAAAGTGTCACACTGGATTACTGCACAGATCTGGAAGAAATACACAAAGCTCGCTAAGATTCAAGGAAGGATACACATGGCTCTTGTACGAGGACAATATTTGTGTATTCCAGACAGAAAAAAGAGAAAAATCTAAAATACAGGACACACCATAAAGAAACCAGTAATACGTCTGCTTCGTTTACACATAGAAGGATTGTGCTTGTATGTGGACAGGTATCATCAATGATGTGATGTCACACCGCCTGTTCTTCAACCTGTGTTCTTAGCAATGTTTTCTTTCTGAATTATTAAAGAAGAACTCCGGGCAAAGCTTTCATTAACTCTTGCATGAGCTTAACCCTTCTTTAAAGATGATCTCCAGGCAAGCAACTAAAGCCACAGTCAGTGTGTTAAATGGCATATTCCATCAGACACCATGTTTACTGTCACAAATGCATCCTACTTCCTTTCTAAGTGCAAACTGGGGTACATTTAGAATAATAGGGACTCACATCTAAGGAATATGAAGGGGGTGCTTGACTATCATTTTTCTTGCACACTGGGGAGTCCTGAGGCGCGGTGTCACCCGGAGTGTTCCTGAGAATGACAATGGCGGAGCATGCCTGTGCAATGCCAGTTGGCATGGGCGTTTGTTGTCTCTACTAGGGGGGCATGTGGCTACAGCTTGCGGTATACTGAGACGCCGCAGCTGAAGCGGATCCCGACAATTATGTCTGGATCCACCCAGCTGCGTGAGTGACAGCTGGCTCTGCCTATCTAGAGCCAGAGCCAGCTGTACCCGCCCCCTCCCCCGTCCATTCCACCAGTCAGCGCTGGAGGATCGGAGCAGGGAGGGGGGAATCCTGTCCCTCCCCTGTCACGGCAGAGAGCCGTGACAGGATCGAGAAGTGAGCGAAAGCCGGTATGTGTTCGCTCACCTCCCGATCTACTGAGCCGACCTGTGACAGTTTCATTGTCACAGGTCGGCTAGAACTATGAGGATGAGTGAAAAGCACTCTCCTCATAGTTCTCCTTTAACTCAGCAAAACGTTTGATGTAAAAATATTGACAGTAACATAGAAATCATAATAATGTGATAAAGATTGCGTGAGATTTTGGTGAATAGGTCCAGATTTACATTAGCACACGCTGACATCAGAAATAAATGGCATTCATGTTGAGTTTACATGGCACAATAGTCTTGGCGGTGTGGTGTTTTGTACACGTGTGACGTCATCGCGCAAGCGTGTGATGATGACACGCGCTGTACAGCGGTTACCTGCCGTAGGCCATCTTGGTGATGGACGTCGGCAGAGAGAGGAGGGGAAGTTCACCCAGCGGGATAAGGTATGCCGCGGGTCCCCTCCTCTCTCCTGCAACTGTCGGGCTCTCAGTCCATGACCGAGTGCCGACTTTTCAGATGGGGCGACACCAAAAGGACTGTCAGTCATTTTGGTGTCACCCCTCCGATGCTGTCACCTGGGTGCGGGACACCCCCCGCACACCCCTTGTGACGCCACTGTGGGACAGCTGGAGCACCGCGGTTGCCTACAAGCAATGAAATGACCACCAGAGGGCAGCGTTACAAATCCAAGCAGATTGTATTGTGTTGTCTGCCAGCTGTCTTTGTCATATTTCTTCTCCATAGACATTCCACGTTTCTCGAATATTTCACTCTCCTGAGCAAACTTTTGGCCGGCCATAGACAGAGACATATTTCTGAAAAGGAGCCTCTGCTAATGTATAAACATCTCATTCGATCTGTTTAATAAGACCACATATGAAGCTTTACAAAAGACCAAAACATCACAATATTTGGCCGCTGTTTGTTTTTATGAGTTGAAAAATCCAGCGCCAAACAGCCCCTCTTGGAGCAACTCTTGTGCCGTGACTTGTGAGTAACTCATACTCATCTTGAATTATGAACCAACAATTCCAAGACATGATGAGTCTTAAAGCTGAATTCAGGGCATGTACATGTTCATTTTTATTCCTCAACAGCCACAAAGGATACAAATCTACTTTGCGTGCCATTGCAAACCTAAATATTACCTTGTAAATGTAGATGTGACATCATCATTGTGCTGCACATAGCCTGTGCAGAGAACAGACCTGTGGGAGGGTCTCAGCAGACCACATCCACTACTACAGGAAGGGGCGGATACAAGACCAGTCACCCTGCACATAGCGAGAGATCAGCAGTGACCAGTCTTTATTACAGGAAGCTCTGAGTCTCACACTGGATTACTGCACAGATCTGGAAGAAATACTTAAAGCTCACCAAGATTCAAGGAAGTAAACACATGGCTCTTGTCATATTTAATATTTGCTGATCCAGGAGTTTAGCTTTAAACCAGAACGGAAGTCGAAAGCTCAAGCTACTTGCTTAAAGGCAACATCACGGTAAAGCCGGGGTGGGCTTGCTCTTATACTGGTCCAAAGCGAGAAGTGAGGCTCCAGGGACCAGTTTAAGAGCAAGCCGGCTCAGAAGATCAGGTCAGAATAACTTTGTTAGTTTTGACCCTAGAAAAAAACAAGCACTTAGCCCTTGCAGTGTGGGGGTATCACCACTGCAAGGCTTAATCTTTTTTACCCCGGAGTTCTTCTTTAAATTAAAGTTTCACACTAGTCACACGCTATAATGTTCAACTCTAGCATACCGGCAGGTGTTCATTGTGTACCAGCGGTGGAGGGCCGTGCCTTGAGTTGTTACATGAAATGTATTATTAAAATGTCATATTACATAGTTGATAGTGAATCCAAAAGCTCAACTCTCAGCAACATACAGTATACTGTGAGTGCAGAGTGCCATACTCAGGGGCCTGGGGTCATGACACCCTGCACTCAAAGTCTTTCCTCAGTCTTCTCATGACATTCATACCAGAAGACTGAGGACATCTTGTGGCGAAGAAGATGTACTGAGGGTCCCAGCTGTGAATTAAAGGTGAGTATTGAAGAAAAAAAAAAAAAACCTGCAGGGGGGCACTGAAAAAAAAATAGCCCAGAGTTGGGCTTTAAGGCATAACTTCAGCCCCCATTTTTTTTTAACTACTCTTACCTTTTAGGCAGGGGTGTCCTTAATTCACATATTCACATACTCACCTGCCCAGTGATTCCTCTGCTTCGCTGCCACAGCCCGGGTCCAATGCTGCCATCTTGGTCTCCTCAGTCATTGGGAAGCTGTCTGCCTTTTCCCGGTCGAAAAAGCTGGTTCCGGGGAAAAAATAAAAACTTAACAGGGTTGAGGGGTTCAGAGAAGAAAAGTTGTTTAGTAGACATGTAAGCTGTAAAAAAAATGTGGTTCAATTCGGATATTTCGTTATTTCGGAATTTGAGATTCGGATCTAAAAGTCAATTCGGTTCTGGTTTCGGATTGCATGAAATCCAAATTTTCGTTAGTTTTGGATGAGTTTACGAATATTCATTAAGACTACCACAAAAAACCATATACAGATGTTAATACTAAAGCTGGGGCTCCCAGACCCGAATGGCATTCGGGATCCGAATTTCCCAATTGCATTCCGGAGCGCCTGGATGCCATTCGGGTCGGGGAGCCATGCACAGATATTACTAAAGCTGAGGCTCCCAGACCCGAATGGCATTCGGGATCCGAATTTCCCAATTGCATTCC